TGTTATTTTTATCAACTGAGGAACTGAGCACCAGCCAGGAAGAAAATTCTCAGTGATGTCAAGGAGGAAGAAAAAGCTCTGTCTCTTTCTAAGCATCTCTGGGTCTGCTTTCCGTGCCCTCTTCCACTCTACATATTTGTGGATAACCTTTAATAGGGAAGAAAAGGGGTTCTCCTAGGCTTTTTAGAACCTAATAATCAGGCTGACCAACGCTGTCACCCACCGTTGCCAGCAGGGATTGCAGCTGGATCTCCAGGGTCTGCAGGCTGCGCCTCATCTCGGTCAGCTCGTTTCTGGCGGTGGTGGCTGCACCAGCGTCGTCGGAGATCTGCTGCTGCAGAGTGGCACTCTGGGAGATGGGCATGATGGGGTGTCAGATGGAATATGTACCCGCATGGTGGGGGGTTTCTGGAGGGGCTGGTTGGCCTGACCTCACCTTTTCGTTGAACCAGGCTTCTGCATCCCTGCGGTTCTGCTCAGCAAGGGCCTCATACTCCGCTCGCATGTTGTTCAGCAGAACTGTGAGGTCCACTCCGGGAGCAGCGTTCATCTCCACATTCACGTTACCTCCGGCTGCGCACTGCAGAGCCTTCATCTCCTGGAGACAAACACGGGTGTGACTTCAGGGGCACACGCAGTCTGAGAAGCTTCCAAAGGTGCTACTTTATGTCTCAAAGTTTGTGGTCAAGTGTGTAATTTTATGGCATAACACTTGTGAATTGACTTATTTGATCTGTATTCATGCCAATTGTTTGTTTAATTGGTTATTTGTTAATGAATACCACTACAAAAGATAGTCACGAGAGAATTTTTTTTTAATCTTTTCAAATGAAAAAGGAATACACAGACTAGAGAGTTATCTAACATATTGAAAGACACATTGACTCACTGAGATATTGACTAAATGTCTGATTAATGGGAATAGAACCGAGCAAAATAGATAAATAAATAAAAATAGAAATCCTAACTGTCTCGAAGTTTTCTCTTTAGGGCTAACAACTATTACCTAACAAGTGCTTCTTACATGTCAGACACTGTTCTATTATATACATGAACTTATTCAAACCTTTCAGTGTCTCTCTGGTAGGTCCTATTATTAGACTTATTATACAGTTCAGGAAACTGAGGCACAGAGAAGTGAAGAAACACACCTACATTACTTAGTACTCAGAGTAAGGGCTAGAATTTGAAGCTCAGGGATTTGATCATGGTACTCTGGCTCCAGAGTGTTTGGTCTTAGCAGCTACATTTCGCTGTATAGCCTCTCAATTCTGAGGAGCTAGAGAACAGATTTCTCGACAAATCAGTGTATCAGTGACCTGAAGGTAGTTCTCTATGAAGTTAACCTTTTTCATTTTAACTGCTTTTGAGACATTGATATCTCTGCTTTCTTAAACTTTTTATGACCCTAGACTGGTGACTTTCCAGTGTCTATCAGAAGAAAAAGATTTACATCACCCAAGGGAATTGTGATTAATTTACTTCTATACTTCGGGGTTTTGAGTAAGAATCTATGTGAAGAAAAATTCTCGTTGCTATGAAAGTTTGAAAATTGCATGGCTTGACGTTATCCTGTGGACATTGGTCACAGGAGTGTGGTGAATAATACTCTCAGGAGGTGTTGAGATGTGAGAGATTTTTTGCCACTATTCAGTGCTTTCAGAAGGACCCTCTCTCAATGGGTCTGAGTTTTAAGCTACTGGGTCTGGGAAATGAACTGCAGTTGACCATGCAGGAATCCTGCACCCTAACCACTATGGCACCTTCTGGCCCCATTTCTTTTTTTTAATGTCACCTTTTAAGGCAAGGTTTGCTTTTCACTCTCCTGCCAGTCCTCACTGGTGGTCTGATACTTCCATTGCTGAGCTCTGTGATTCTTCCCTTTCCTTGTTTCTTTTTTTTTAATTAAAAAAATTAAATTAATTAAATTTACATTCATTCACTGAGCATTGTCACAGCATACAAAATGTGATTTTCGATCTAGAATATACTGCACAGTGGCTTAATCATACATGTTATCATCAATAACTTTCCATTTCTAGTTTCATATGTGTATGTATATATATATTTCCTCCTATTTCTCACCCTCTTCCATTTCCCACTCTCCTCCCACAATTTCAACCAAGAATACTATACCCAGGAAGATTATCCTTCATATAAGAAGAAAAGACAAGAACATTCTCATATAAACAAAACCTGAAAGAATTTACCAATGCCAGACCAGATCTCCAAGAAGAACTTCAAAGGAGTGTTATACCAGGAAAATTAAATACAGACACACAGAAATAAAAGTACAAAAACTAAGAAAATGGCCAACTTGATTGTAGACACAAGTCTGGAGTTGAATATTATATCCCAGAATTTAATTGGGAAGATCAGCCCACAACAGAATATAGATTAAGTACATGAAAACTGGTGAAATAGAGTTTTATGACTTTTGACTAAAACATTGCTGATTTTCTTCTAGGCTTTGTTTTCTGGTTTTAAGGATTTCTGTCCTGTCTTGAACTGCCACTAGGTTCATGTACCTACTATTTGAACAGAATCCTAACCCCTTTCCTGGCTTTAAGTTTTAAGCAAAGTTTTTTAGTATTTCTTTGATTTATTAAAACTAAAACTGCTTCTATAGAAATTAAAAAATAAGTTAAAAATACCTTTTTAATGACCGTAGTTCAGCTATATAGCATCAACTAGGTACTACATTATAATATATTCATTCCACTCAGAGTTTCACACCTAAAGTCAGACATATATTCACAGATATGTATTTATCAGCTGAACTTGCTATTGAAAGTAGTTAGGTTAATTAAGAACTTTTGTGAATCAATAAAATGTGGGAGGAAAAAAGAATGAAAACAACTGTTTCTTTCTCTTGTTTCTTTCTTTCTCTTTTTCAAGAGTTTATTTATGTTACCTGTGAGCAAGAGAAAAAGAGACTGAAAGCGATAAAGAGAGAGAGAAAGAGAAGACAGTACTTCTGATGGGTTCTTGCCTTTTTTTTTTTTTTTTTTTTTTTTTTTTTTTTTTATTTTGCTATAGGGCGTGTGCGCTCGCCAGACAGAGAGAGACAGAGAGATAGACAGCCAGAAATCACCCCCCAGGGTAGATGGCCACGCCGCAATCCCTTCTCCTCTATTCTCCTCTTGGGATCTTGGGCACGCATGCACACGTGCCTGGCGTGAGTTTAAGCCACTGGGTCCGGGACGCAAACCGCAGTCGACTATGTGGGAGTCCAGCGACATAGCCATTACGCTAACTGCTGGTCCTGATGGGTTCTTGACACTGCAATCCACCTTTGGCCTCAGCACACGCATGGCTGGTGTACTGAACTCTGGAGCCTTCCCAAGTGGGTCAGCCTCTCAGTATTGTGTTTTTACCACCGTGCCACCATTTGGCCCCCTCTCCTTGTTTTATTTATTTATTTATTATTTTTTTCTTGTCTAATTTTCCTTTTCCATAATTTCCTCATTTGGCATAAGTAGAGTTGGTGTTTTACTCCTTTCTAGCCAATAAAAGGTCACTCCCTATTAGAGGGTATTTTCTCAAAAATTGTCATCTCTTGTTTTGGTGACTTTTGCAGTTACTTTTGGAAGATTTCCCAGCTCCCTCTTAGAGAACTGAAGCTGGTATTACATGTCAAAGAATGAGTTTACTATTTTATAGGGTTCGACATTCAAGTAAAGTTGGGCTCATTAGGTGGAGAAAAACACTGACACATTTCTGGAGAGAGGTCATTTGTGAGTAGACTGATTTCAAGATAGGCCTATTTGAATGCAAGAAATAGCCCAATGGAAAGAAAAATGGTTATATTAATGGAAAAGTAACATATTACTTTTAAATAGATTATTGATCAGTCTCAGATGGAAGGATCCAGATCAAATTGTTAGTATTTACTACCTTGGGGGAGGTGGGATTAGAGGAGCAGAGTGGGAGAAATGAAACTATTTCTTTATATCCCTTGGCATGAGTGAATTATTATAAGGAGTATGAATTACTATATTGTAATTGTAGTGCCTGCCCCACAACTAATTAGAATGTGCAGAATTGTAAGTAAAGCTTCTCCTACCGCATCCACAAGTATTTAGAATGGGCAGAATTGTAAGTAAAGCTTCTCCTACCGCATCATGGTTCTTCTTGAGATAGGTCATCTCTTCACTCAGGGATTCATACTGCAGTTCTTGGTCAGTTCTGCAGAGGGTCAGCTCATCCAGGACACGCCGTAATCCATTGATGTCTGCCTCTACATTTTGGTGAAGGGTAAGCTCATTTTCATACCTTGGGGAGGCCATTTAAATAAATTTCAGTGCAAGTTAGACTTCTTCAAAGAAGTGAAAAATAAAACATCAATTGCTTTACACTGAAAATTAGATATTGAATTAAGACTAACTATTACGAAAATATAAACAGAAAGTCCTCTCCTATCCACCCACCCTGTTCTGTGCAGGACCATCAAAAGTTATTTAATCAAACAATTCTGATAGTATATCCCCGTTAAATAAAAGTAGATCATTTTAGAATTTTATCTTAGTTAATATTTTCATTTAGTCAATGAATAGTGGTCAAACATCTACTTTGTGCGTGGCCCTATTTCAGGCAGGTGTAGACATACATCGATATTCTGTACTAAGAACGTAATAAATATGGGTAAGTTGTGAATGTAGTTGGCTGTAGTATTGTAAATCCCTTGTTTCTTTAATCTGTTAGGTTATAGTTTATTCTGCTTGGAATGAAGTTTAAATTTTATTGAACAGATTAAATAGATAGGAAGTTTTTTCTAGAGCAAGATTACTTTTTTATCCCTTACTTTAGCCGGAAATCATCAGCGGCCAGTCTGGCATTATCAATCTGTAGAATGACATTAGCATTAGCAGTAGTGGAAGAGATAACCTAGAAGAAATCAAAAGGGAGAACACAAATAAATTAGCTCTTATAATTTATTATTTCATGAAATACAACATTTTATACAATTGAGTTTTTGCATAAAAATTTTCTTCCTGGGGCTGGCAGGTGGGATGGTGGTTAAAGGTGCTGGATTCCCACATGGCTGACCACGGTGTGAGTCCTGGACCTGGCGGCTTGCTTTCTTTTCTTTTCTCTCTTTCTGCTCAAATTAAAAAAATTATAATAACAAATGGAATTAAATAAATAAATAGTTCTTTTAATAAAAATCTTACTTCTTTATGTAATATTTAAAAATTAGAGATATAGTAGGCCAGCCAAGTGGTGTGGTAGTTAAGGCATCTGGGTTTCACATGGCTGAATACACAGTTCGAGTCCTCTACCTGGTGGCTTGAAAAATATGCCAGGTGTGTGTGTCCTCATGCCCCGAATCCTGGAAGAGAATGGAGGAGAAGGGATTGCAGTATGGCCATCCCTCCTGGGGGATGATTTCTTACTTTCCCTCTCTCTCTCTCTCTCTCTCTCTCTCTCTCTCCAGTAAGTGCATGTGCCTTATAGCAAAAACTGGAAAAAAAAAAGAGAGAGAGAGAGCGATATGGGATTATTTCTTCTCACATAACCATATAGTTTTTAGAATAAAATGCCTTCAAATCTGTGAATATATTTCAAAATAAACACTAGAACTTTAACATTTTAATTGCATCAAATCAATGAATCAAAGTGCTTATTTTTTAGTAATAGGAAGTATTATTTATCAAAATAAATAAAAAGTAAGTTAATCTAATACAAGCTACAGATAACAATTGTGAAGCATTCTCTGTTGTCATTCTTTGTCTTTTGCTAAGTACTTCTTCTTCTTTTTTTAAAAAATGATTTGTTATAGGGTATGTGTGCCTGCCAGAGAGAGACAGAGAATAAGAAAGAGAGAGAGACATGGAAAGTGAGAAATCACAACCGGGGGGCGAGGGGTGACCATACTGCCTCCTTTCTCCTCCAGTCTCCTCTCAGGATTCCAGGCATGTGTGCACACACATCTGGCATGATTTTCCAGCTCCAGGTCTAGAACTTATGCAGTCGGCCATGTAGGATTCAGCGCTTTAAACTTCACACCACCTATTGGCTCAGCATTTCTTGGTTTTAAATACTTCGAATAATTCCAAATTTACGATTCCTTACCTTATTCTTAAGATCCTCGATTGTTAGATGGTATCGGCTGTAGTCATGATCAAGTCCTCGGCAAGATCCAGGTCCGTATTTTTCATACCAACCCTTGATTTTTCTCTCTAATTCAGTATTTGCCTCCTCCAGAGCTCGCACGCTATCCAGGTAGGATGCCAAGCGGTCATTAAGATTTTGCATGGTCACCTTCTCATTTCCAGAGAGAAGTCCCCCTTCACTCGCAGCAAAGCCAACACAGACAGCATTTCCAAGGGCACCACCGGCATGACTCCCACCGGGTACACTGCCCAAGCCTCCTCCCAAGGAAAATCCACTTCCAGCAACCGAGCTGCCACATGCATTGCTGCCTGCAAAGCGTGTGCCTCCGTTGGATGGTCCAGCTGATCCAGTTCCAGGCCGTAAGCAAATATGCCTGGATCCACCAGAAAATCGAAGAGACATGGCGTTAGGAGAAATGTTCCTCTTGTTTGTGGGTAGCTGTAATGTCAAAGGAAAACAGTGTTCAAAGGCTGATGGCTTCTTTGGTCTTTTATACACAATTATTGAGGTGTTTATATTTGAGTTATGTATGCCAAAGTAAAAATTGCTTGATTTAGATTAGTGTAAAATTATGTATAATTAGATGATTTAAAAACATAATGAATGTCTAACATCCCTGGGTGCTGCTTTGGGATATTTGTTATCTTAGATATGATAGGGTTTGTTCTATATTAAGTTCATTATTTTAACTTCTAATTTTGTGTGAGTAATCCTTTACTTTCATCTAGACCCTAGGAACAGACTATTATTATCTGGTATAGGGTACTATGAAGTGTTAGGAAAGATTGGGATAGGGTACCATCAACTGTAGTAGGGTCTCAATTACCACAGAAGTGTACAGAGGACTATTAACTGCAGGAGTAGATATCCCATCCTTTTATAACAAAAAAAATATGTAATTAAAAAACGTTTCTGGTTACTCCTCTGCTTTTACCATGGTTATAATATCTATTCACTAGCTTGGGAAATTACACCAATATTAATGTATTCCTTTATTTAAAATATATGGCTACTTTGTCTGTTTCTATGTGCCAAGTGTAAAAAATGAAAGATGTGGTACTAAATAAATGCAGAAATGAAAAAGATATTGATTATAATCTTTAGGAAATCTATTATCAAGTCTAGACAGGGGCTGAATCATGTTTAGCCTTTTGTGCTAAAGAGTTTGGAATAAATCCTAAGTGAAAGTCAGAGGGCGGCATGATCATGTTTACATGAAACAAGAAGGCCAATTACAAGTCAGAACAATGGTCCACACGAAAAGGATAAAGGCAGCGGAGATGAAGAAAAGATGAAGTTGAGAGGATATGGTCATTGAATTTGGAGAGAAAGGAAGAAGGAAGGGTTGGGAATGAAGTTTAGGTAGCTGATTTCAGGTGCTAGGAACTCATAATATTACTTAGATAGGGCATATAGGAGGGGGAAGATACTGAGTTTAGTTTTGGACCAAGCGGATTGGAGGATGTCACAAGTGAAGATGACCAAAATAAAGTTGACTGTTTAGAATAAGTACCAGGAACTAGGAAAATACCTGACTAGCCATGAACAAAGGGATTGTCAGGAACAGCTGAGGGCCCAGCTCTCATATTTAATGACATTCAATCGCACATTTGGAAGTGATTCTGATGTGGGAATAGAGAAGATGATGATCAGACTGTTGTGGGTTTCAAGGTTTGAAAACAAATTTGAAAGGGAAGAGTGGCAAAGAAGTTTCTGGCACTCTTGAGAAATGATTGATATCCTTGAAAGAAGAATGCAAAACCAGAGGGACAGACAGGATGAGGGAAAAGACAAAGACTGAGTTACAGAGCATCTTTATGAGGCCATAGAGCAGTCAGAACATTAGTAAATTGGTAAAGGTGAGGGAAGACAAGTTTAAGTTGGATAGAAAAAGCCAGAGTTTAGTATATATACATTTTTTGAGATATTTTTGTTAATAGAGTTGTGCGCTTGTTGGAGAGACAGAGAGACAGAAAGTGGGAAATCACTCTTCAGGAGGGATGGCCATACTGCAATCCCTTTTCCCTTATTCTCCTCTTGGGATTTGGGGGACACATGCACATGCACCCAGTGTGAGTTTTAAGCTGTGAGTCTGAGACTCAAACCATGGGTGACCATGTAGGAGTCCAGTGCCTTAACTGTTAAACCACCTGCTGGTCCCTGGAATTTAGAATTTTAAAGTAGGCACAGTCCCAAGTGTTGCCAAAGTCCAGAGGATAGCCATGGGGACTGGGCCCAAAGTCATTGGAGTAAGAAGTCAGGAACTATTAGACTATGACATTAAATGGGCCATTTCTATAGGTATGAACTCTCATGATGGCAGAAGAAAGGAGAGAAGTGGATTAGAAGCCAGGTGCCAAAGTTCTTTGATGGTGTGTGTGCATGTGTGTGTGTGTGTTTATGTCCATGTGTATGTTGGGGGATGAGGGACAATCGTATGGCATTTGCCTCTAAAGAGAAATTTCAGCAGAAGAATTATCTAGGACAAAGCTGGATGTGGCATGGAGGATCAAGAGAACATAGACTACCAGAGTCCATATGTTACATACATGGAGGTGGGAGTGAAAGGGAAGATGGGGGGTGAAGAGAGGGGAAGGGAGGACATGGAGAAGAAAATAGGTGGAAGAGCATGCAGGGGTGGGAGAGAAATGGGAACAGACATGGGGGATAAATGATGATTCTGAAAGAAAAAGTTGCTAGAACTATGCAGCAGAAAGGTACATGAAGTACTTAATATTATAAAATACATCTTTTCAATTGAGCCTTTTAGCAGAGAGACTTAAAAAGATTCAGATAATTTTCTAAATATGAATCAAAGGAGCTTCTAACTCATAAGTTTGTTGGAAAACTAAGTGAGGCTATGCTTATTAGCACAGTGCATGGAAAATGGAAAACTGTCAGTGACTGGTGGCTATTGTTATCACTAACTAACTGGATGTGTGTGTGTGTGTGTGTGTGTGTGTGTGTGTGTGTGTGTGTGGAGGGGGCTGAGAAGGAAGAAGTGAGTAAAAAGAAGAGACTGAAAGGCTACCCCCAGAGGCAGTGGCTGAGAAGGGTGGGAGTGAAGAGGATAGAAGACAGGAGAGACAGGAGGGACTTGGCTAGACTTGACTGGCTTCAGATTCAGGTGGGGAAGATAAGCATAAGGCTGTTTTGCCACCAGAAGTCAGAAGTGTCTCCTGGAACTGTGTTGATGTAAGTGTGCTGAAGCCTGGTTGGAGAGTGCTGTGGCCTCGAAATGCGTTTTCTGGGCAAAGTTGTAGGATGTTTGTAAAATTGCAAAAGGCTTTAAATATGACCTCACTCAGCCCCTTTGCTGGGCAATGGAGGCCCATATATGTTAAACAGCTTGCTCAGAGTCATGAGGTATATGACAACTGGGCATATGGCACAGACAACTGAATACTGGCACAGAGATAAGGAGCCAGGCTGACCTACATGAGAGGGCTCTGGGTTTACATCTGGAGAACGCCCTGAGTACCCCAGCCCTGTACATGCCATGATCCAAGGGGACTGAGGCTGGGGGCGGATCGCAGCTTGAGGACCTTATTGGGTGTGCTGTCTTTCTCTTTTGCGCATGTAATAAAGAAATAAATAAAATTTAAAACCACAAAACTGAGCATATATTCTAGATGTTTGGAAGCTCCTGGCATCATGAGCATATTTTAAACAGAAATAATTAGCCTATGATGCAGGCTAATGCAAATACTTAATATATTTTATATATTGTCATCCACAGTCTTGCTATCCGTGTGAACTGTAAAATTATTCTGCAATTGAATAGTTGGAGTTGAAATATAAGGAACTAGGATATTGAAGTATATAAAGCATTGTAACTCTTCAGTGACTCATTATTACTTAATTTCACATAATAATTAGACAAATTATTGGCATAATGTGTCTGCATCCTTCAGATGTAAATTAAATAATATATAAAATATTTTAACAACAAAAATAAAAGCAATGCATTTTATATTTGAAAATTGCTAAGAGAGTAGTTTTTTTTTGAGAGTGGATTTTAAGTGTTCTCACCACAAAAAAAATGATGAGTGAGGTAACATATATGTAAATTAGTTCAGTTTAGCCATTCAACAATGTAAAACACCGTGTTGTACACCATAAGTGTATATATAGTTTTATTAATAATTTAATAATTTTCAATTAGAAATAAAAACAGCAAAAAATATAAAAAGGGAAAAGAAGTTGTTTCTTTCAAAAGCATACCCTTAAATAAATCAGTCCTTCCCATCTGTCATCACCCCTCATGATCTTACATTGCTGAACACACCTGCCCTGCCCTTTTATTTCCACCAGGGGGCAGGGCTAGTCTTCAAATAGATGTTGCTGCTCAGAAGCTTGGGGAGAACCACTCTAGCCTGGGTCCCTCATGCTGGTAAGCTGGAAATAATCAAAATCCTGGTTAGAAGCAACCTTCACATTCATATTTTTGAAGTATTAGAGTCCAATGAGTACAAAGACAAGATTGAAAACTGAGGCTAGAACTGTTCAACAGTACACAGCAATAAACTGGGTGAATAAACCCCAGAATGAACCTTCTGACTCAGTGTGGTGTATACTACTTTTAGTATATAAAGTACTTCAGAAAGTTTATGGAAAAATGGAATTAAAGCATGAGTTTATTTTGGGGATCAGCAGTTAGTGTAATGGCTATGTCGCTGAACTCCCGGTTCAGTCCCGGACCTGGTGGTTTAAACTCATGCTGGATGCGTGTGCATGCATGCCCAAGATCCCGAGAGGAGAATGGAGGAGAAGGGATTGCAGTGTGGCCATCCTCCCTGGGGGGTGATTTCTCACTTTCTGTCTCTCTGTCCCTCTCTGTCTTTCTGGCGAGTGCACGCGCCCTATAGCAAAAAACTTCTAAAAAAAAAAAAGAGTGAGTTTATTTTGATGCAAAAAATTTTGAAATCCATGCATAGTTTTTTAAAATAATATACATTTTTGTGAACATTTTGAAGACCCTCATATATAATTGTATTTAGGTCAAGATATTAAAAATCCTATACAGGGACCTGCAGTTAGCGTAATAGCATAATAGTCGACCACGGTTCGAGTCCTGGACCTGGTGGCTTAAACTCATGCCAGGCACGTGTGCGTGCGTGCCCAAGATCCTGAGAGGAGAATGGAGGAGAAGGGATTGCGGCGTGGCCATCCCCCCTGGGGGGCGATTTCTTGCTTTCTGTCTCTCTGTCTCTCTCTGTCTGGCGAGCGCATGTGCCCTATAGCAAAAAAAAAAAAAAAGAGTAAAAATAAAAAAAATTAAAAAGAAAACCTATACAGAAATCTCTCCTTAATGAAAAGCGTAACTAGATTTCTTACAAAATTATTTTCAGAATTTCAAGTTATTAGCAAAATGAAAGTTTTGGCTATAGTTTTGCTGCCTA